TGGTGAAGGGAAGCCTGAAGACAGCACATGGGGGTCTCAAGGAGAGAAGGGTCTTTACCCAAATCCCATTTCTCTTGAGCTTTAAGTCCGTGCCTGGGGTTAAGAGAATCACAGCAGCACATAGGGAGGGAGGGAAACTAATGTTTACTACCCACTTCCTTAATCCTGACACATAGATACACACTCGCTCATAGGTTGTAGCAAGACAGCCTCCAATGCTGGTATTCTGTTTACAGGATCCCGTAATTCTGAAGATTGCCAACTTATTTCACCATTTCTCCCCACACACACTGAACACACAGGTTTAGACTAGCAGCATACACATCAAACACAGGGAAACAAGGGCCCTCAGCTTTTGGCACATTTTTAAGATCTGAAAAGAAATACTTTTATGAATAAAAGGGTGAATTAAATAAAGAATAATAGGAAAAAAAATGAATGGGAGTTGGACCAGCTAGAATGCAATGAACAAGCTGGGAAATGTTTCTTTCTCAAAGGCACCATAGAGATGAAACAGTGCAGAGGACATATATCAGTACAACTCTTTCAGCAATCAGGAAACGTATCTTAAATATTAAACACAATATCCTTTGACCCAATAATTCCACATCTAGGACCTTATCCTATAGACATGTTCATACTGCCCTACAAAGACCCATATAATCAACAAATTTAGCACCAACAAACAACATCAACTAGGTAATACAAATAGTGCACAAATATATCTGAATCACTTTTTCAGTTTTCTGCCTCAAAAATGGAAATAGGAGGATACAAGCTTACTTCATATCTGTAAGGATCCTTTTCATACAATAATGGGAAACTTAGTATTAGAGAGTTTCTGTACATCATTCTGAGCAAGAGGGCCAGGAACACAGAAAGAAGTATGAGTAAATCTTTCCTCTAAAAATTTAAATGCCAAAAATCATACCACACAAATTGCATGTAAAAATACACAGACATAATAAAAATGGCTGTGTACACTAGCTCATACATCTCGCTTGGATGCAGGTTCATGATATTACAAGCTGTGTACCTTAGCTCTTGAAGAATCAAAAAATGTGATGATGATTAGAAATCACCCATTTCTGCTGACCATGTTCAACCATTTGTTAGTTCACTAAGCAATTTGATTTCATCTCCCAGGCCAGTGATTTTTGAAAAAATTACTAACTTTCAGTGTCACACAAACCAGAGCCCATACCTGTGCACACACACACATACAGCCTCATATCTCTGGACTCTACAGCCTGAGGACTAAGGAAAAAGAACCACCTACTCAACACTAATCTAACTTCCCAAAAGAACATTTCAAACCCTGAAGGGCCTCCTCCCTGTACTAAACCAGTTCAGTCCAGTTTAGCCTCTAAGGTGTGACTGATCTCAGCATGTGACTGATTCATTAGCCTCCAGGTCATACTATTAAAGAGGATGACTCTAACCACAGCCTCACAGTCTGGCCTTCCCAATTCCGGCATCTTTAAACACTCACAACAATAAAACGTGAGGGTCTCATTAAATTCCAATACAAAACTCAAACAGTTAACCAAATAATTGCTACCCAACCACAAGTAAAAAAGCAAGTAAAAACAAAAAAATCCCTGGCTGTTTAATTAGAAAATGTTTCAATGGTGTGTTCCTGTATTCAACCTATTTCCAAAATTTTCAGTCTTAACTTGGCAAATATATTTAAAGGAATGTCAAGGGCCTTGAAAGGAGACATAATTGAATGAATGGGCTAAATTAAAAACAAGAATAGGGCAGGAAGAAACCAGTAGGCAGAAATTATCTCTCTCCAAGCACCCCAACCCTGTAGCATTTTGGTCGTAACATCCTGAGTGTCCTTCCGTGTCAGCGCCTTAGGTTCACACGGCCATACAGCACCGTTTGCAATGTTCTTTCTGGCCTGCGAGTACACATTCATGTTCATGCCTGCTCAGACAGACTTGTTTTCACACTGAGCAATGCTGGGTGCTGCTGTTTTGGAACTTGTCTTTCGATGTTGTTCTAGGGCAGATACCCAACTGGAGAGACTGGTAGAAATCAAACAAGTGAGGTGCCGCATTACAGGCTGGAAGTGAGAGCTTTTCCTCCCTCAGAAGGAAACAGATCAGTCTTACTGGGATGCCTGAGCCCATCCGTAAATAAGAGCATAACTGGATCCTCTTCTTGTTACACCTGCCTCTGAGTAACAGGCAGTGATGGCAGGAATTTTACTCCCTGCATCCATTCATCCCAGCCCTAGAGTCTCTAGGACACTCCTGGACAAGTCCCTTGACTCTTGGCTCCTGAAGGTTAATTCTACTTCATTCTCTCAGGCGTTTAAGCTCCTTACTCATTAAATGCTTTCGTGACATCCTTTTGATCTAAGTTTATCAAATCCAGTCTTTCTTGTTATTTTGAATGAAAATTGTTAGGGGCAACAATGAGGTTTATTTACCTAAGATCTGTCGGAGTTGTGGTTTTCAGGGAAAGGATTTTATTATGCTTTTAAAAAATGTGAACTATACAAACAAAACAAGCAGAAACAAGTACAGTATGTGGTTTTCTACTATGGGAACCCTTCCCATCGAAAACTCCACATTACTGATATAAGTTCCTAGAAGTAATTATCACAATTGTTCTGGTCAACAGTCGCATTTCTTGACAGCCAGCATGCCTAAAATAATTATATGCATAATGACAAAAATGTTTATGAAAGGAGCAAGCTTGGTGGTACAGTAGATTGAGCTGCAGCAATCATGGGATTCTGTCCTGCTAAGCCCTCTCTCCACAAAGCCTTTTCTACCAGGTGTTCATATGATTAGAAACCAAAGCCACAGGCCTCCTCGGAAAATTTTTATTACAGAAGTCAAATAAAATTCATAAAATAATAAAACTCACCTAAATGCACACAAAAATAAAGCCCAATTAAATAGCTGTTCCCACAGCAAATTCAAATACAACACAAAATTTATAGATAGTTATCAAGTAAAAATAACTGTTAGTTATCAAGTAAAAATAACTGCTAAGATATGCCACAGCTCTACTCTCTAAATGTGAATATCACTATCTTACACAAACATCAAGTCACAGTGTAGTTTCAATTGTATATAACTTTGTCTCTTGTTAGCATAAATCAAGGCATTCAACCATGAGAAATATGAGCACTCCAACCCCATCTATTTAAATTCTTACACATGCTGAAAAGTGCTAAATCTTTTTTATAAGTAAAGAACAGAACAAAGGACTTTGAAAATACAGTGCTACAGATAAAAGTTTCCTTCAGGTGAAAGAAACCATAAGTATTTTTTTAAAAAAATGAGAGAAGGAGGGTAGGACGAAGGGAAAATCATTATGTTCTTAGATTTATATGTATAAATCATATTGAATCTCTTAAAAATTTATTGAAATTAAACAATGTATTAAAATTAAACAAAACATTAAACAAAAAAAATTAAAAGGGGAGTTCTTAGATGTGAATAGAAAGGGGGGTTCATTACAATTTTCATAGATGTTAAAATGGCCTAATAAAAAAGAAGAGCAGAGCAAAGAGAACTGAAAGGAAGGAAGAAAACAAGGAGAGGTAGAGGAGGGGATTTCAAGTCGAATCTTAGCTCTGTAAGTTCTTCACAGTGTGGCCTTAATAAACCTCAGTTCCTCATCTATAAAACTGGGATGATAACAATTCCTGCTTTATAGAACTGTTAGGGGGTTGAAAGAAACAACATATGTAAAGCACTAAACAGAATGCCTTACGTGCATAAAGTTTTCAAACCTTTAACTATTGTAATTTATTACTTTTATTGTGAGAAATAAGTTTGGTCAGTTTAATGAGTTTATATCTTGGGCTTAGCCTATTTGGGAATATAGTCAGTTCTTCAACAGCTTAACACAATCTTCGTAAAACCAAGTAAGATAACTGAGATCAAGAAATACGTAATTGTGAATAAACACTTTCTGGGGATTTAAATTCTTATAAGGAGATAAAAGCATAGGCTCCAGAGCTCGACTGCTTTGATTTGAATCCCAGTTCTGCCACTGGATGACTGCGTGACTTTAAGCAAGTACATACTCTGTGTATCAGTTTCTGTTTGTTAATCAGGGATGACAATGGGGATGGGGTGAGGATTAGATGGATTAATATGTCTAAACTGCTTAGAACAGTGCCTTGCACTTACTAAGTACTATGTAAGTAACAAGGATTTGGTTTTTAATAATTCTCACATGGAAACTGCTTACCACCTAGAATTGTTTATTGTTAAGCTCAACTACACATTATAGTAACAAGACTAGAAAAATATGATTTGGAAACTTGTCTAAAATAATCATTACCTTTCAACTCATTAGTTTCCTACAAACACAGTTTTGGTCATCTACCTGTAGATTCTACTTACCAAAGCTTATCTGCTAAGTAACTGGCAAAGACCAAAGACATAATTGTTTTCTGGTGTCTGTTACACTAAGGTTTAGAGTGATGATTTCTGAATAATGGGAATTTGATGTGTTCATTTCTGTTTCTTTTTCCTAATTTTCTGCCATGCACAAGTATTACTTCTATAATAATCAAGAGTTATTTCAAAATTAGACATGAAAGACACATTTCCTTGCACATATTTGTTTTTTTTTTTTTTTTTTTTGGACAGGCAGAGTGGACAGTGAGAGAGAGAGACAGAGAGAAAGGTCTTCCTTTGCCGTTGGTTCACCCTCCAATGGCCGCCGCAGTCGGCGCGCTGCGGCCGGCGCACCGCGCTGATCCGATGGCAGGAGCCAGGAGCCAGGTGCTTTTCCTGGTCTCCCATGGGGTGCAGGGCCCAAGCACCTGGGCCATCCTCCACTGCACTCCCTGGCCACAGCAGAGGGCTGGCCTGGAAGAGGGGCAACCGGGACAGAATCCGGCGCCCCGACCGGGACTAGAACCCGGTGTGCCGGCGCCGCTAGGCGGAGGATTAGCCTAGTGAGCCGCGGCGCCGGCCTCCTTGCACATATTTGTATATGGAAAAGAATCATGAATTGCATACCTGTATTTATGAATGATGGCATTAAATAGTTTCCCATCTCTCCAGCAGGTAGTGAAATTTTCACACCGGATTCCAGCATAACCCTCTGTGGCCTGCTGTGTCCACAGCAGCAATCTCTCTTTTGCAGACATATCCTCTGACTCTCCAGTAACATGGATATCAGATATCTACATAGAACAGAAAGTGTTAAACCATTAGGAGGGAAGGAAGCTAACTCTGATTAAGAACCTACTAGGTGCCAAACACAATGAATACAACTGCTAGTTCATTTAATCTTTGTAACTCTCTCAAGACAGTATATTACTCTTATTTTATACATAGGAAAACTGAGTTCCAAAAAGGTTACCAGATTGAAAAGGTTGTATTTAATTCATTTGTGTCCAATATAAAAGCATCTAATCTCTTGTAACTATACAAAAACTTCACAGCATTGGAAAGTATACATTCTTCCTTGCTAATCTAAGATTTCTTAACTTAAGCAAATGTTTTTCCAAGTTCAAATGGATCAAAAGTAAAACCTATGTGTTATTCGACACTACCACCTGCAGAGCAGAATTTGATCCAACAGGTGTTGTGTGTGTGTAAAGAACACAGAAATGTGAAATAGTGCCCTCTCCCATTTCTGTATTATACAACACTATGGCTGAAAATCTCTTTCTCATGAGCCTTGCTCAGCTTGCCCAACGTGGAAGCTTTATCAACTAATTTTTTTCTCCTATACTTTGTATGTTTTCATTAAGTGTTCTAAAAAATTCCTCCACTGAATAACAAACAGTTGCTATGATTGCTAGTTTCTGTGATTTATCTTTGCCTGAGCCCATCTCTTTGGTTCGGGTCCTATTTAACCTGTTGATAATTATGTTGAGGCACATGGTGAGTTTACCACAGGTTACACAGTAATTCCAAAGCTGGGATTAACACTAGCAAACAACTGTTCTCTGCCTCGGTGCAGCACTGCAATGCCAAGGGATCGAGAAGACAGGCGCCAAGCCAGGAAGAGGATGAGCATGTGAGATACTGGAAGCAAGACAGAGAGAGGAACATATCATTCTGGAACAGCACCAAAATCACTGGACTGGAGTCATGAGACAGGCTGTTAGTGCTGGCCAGAAGTCTCATAGCTTTGGATAATTCATTTCATATGCGTGAGTCAACTTCCTCCTCTATAAAATGAGGAGGTAGGAGGCAGAAGCACATAATGGTTAAAGCCCTTTTTAGTCTGAAGTCTCACTAAGAGACCATAAACACAACACAGAACTCAGAGGTCAAAATGGGTAGTCAAGCAACTAAAAGTAGAGCATAAAAAATTCTAGACTAAAGAAAGCCTGTTACAGGCAACCGTGCCAGCCTGGGACAGGAAGCCCTTTATTCCTCCCAGCTGCCACAGGAGCCAGAGACAGAGGGACAGCCAACCCAGGGACTTGGGGCAGGAAGGCTACAACAGCTAAAGCCCTTGGCAGGCCTGGCAACCCCTACAGTACCATTTACCAGAGATGAGGCTGGGCCTCATACACCCTTTCTCCAGTATTCAGAAGAAGCAGCCATGCCCTATGAACCTCCACTCTTAGCCACAGTTGGGAGACATTCCTTGACAAATGACCAGAGTTTGAAAATGGAACAAAGTATCTCACTGTTAATCATCCTTCCTAAGAACCTGTGCTAATCTCAGTACCAGGAAAAAGAACTATGTGTATGGACATATCATATAGTACATATGGAAGGGATCTCTTTTTGATGCACAAAAAAAAAAAAAAAAAAAGAAAGAAAGAATAGAATAGAAAATCACCAATATTCTTATGTCTACCTTCCAAAGATATTCAGGTTTCAAATTAAGCCAGCATGCTTTTCTGGGACATCCTGTGCATTCAAATATTTAAATCACATCTCCACCATTTACATGCTCAAGTTACTTAACTACTTTAAGATCATTCCCTCACTTGCACAGTAATGGTGATAGATATTACCACACCGTGTGGCAAGACTGCAACAGGAACACAGTGAGCACATGCTCAGTCCACCAGAGCTATTTGTTGTAGTTATTCTTTCTGACAAAGGGAGGAGCAAAAACCTATCTTTATTATTTTCTCTAATTTCCTCCTGTGGAGAAAATCTAAAAGATTTGAAAACAAGGTTTCAGAGAAACTAATCTAGGAAACTGGGAATGGGAAAGTTGAGCTTTTAGGCAAAGTTTCTTAATAGTTTCCTCCGTGTTTTAACTAATCATAAAATCGACCTCCTTGGAGACCTTCCGATGCAGGTGCTACATGGGTGGTACTGATAGCAATATAAAGAAAAGGGAGATCGCTGGAGAGAGGGGAGACAGTTTTCTGCTGATTCAAGAACATTGCATGCCAGTCCAATTACAAAAGTAATTACCCATTAATGAGGGAAGTCAGTGAATTTCAGTGTCAAGGTGATAGGCTTGTAGTATTTAATAGACTTGAATACTAACATATTTCTTTTATTAGAAGATGAGTTTAGAGGTTTAAAAATGGTCTAAATATTAATCGAAAGAAGAGCATCTTATTAAGTAAACTCTATTGGATAAGTTTCAAATTGTTACAGACACTATTTCAGGCTGTTACACATGCACACATCATCTAAACAGCTGTAATTTTAAAATACATCTTCAACTATGTTATGAGCCATGCTTTAAGATATCAGAAACAACCCAATAACTCATTTGCAGCTTCTGTTATTCTCAATTAACTGAACATCATCTTCACAAGGCAGTTGAAGGTGCTTTTAAAAAATATAGTGTTACCATTACTCACAACCTCTGAATATATCAGAGTTTTCATGATACTGTGCAAACTAAAAAGAAAAGTAAATTAAATGCTAAAACTTGCAAGCATGCAACTGTCATGCATAACTCATGTTCTGAAATCTGTGATCAAACTGCTTGAATCCCCCACCAGGACAGGTTAATGAGGGCTCCAGATTCAGGCTAGATTGTAGGAAGTTATCAAATCACCTCCCTTCAAAACCCAAGGGAGGGCCAGCGCCATGGCTCAATAGGATAATCCTCCGCCTGCAGTGCCAGTTGGGGCGCCAGTTCTGTCCCGGTTGGGGCACCGGTTCTGTCCCGGTTGGGGTGCCGGTTCTGTCCCAGTTGCCCCTCTTCCAGTCCAGCTCTCTGCTGTGGCCCGGAGTGCAGTGGAGGATGGCCCAAGTGCTTGGGTCCTGCACCCGCATGGGAGACCAGGAGGAAGCACCTGGCTCCTGGCTTCGGATCGGCGCAGCACGCCAGTGGCAACACACCAGCCATAGCGGCCACTTGGAGGGTGAACCAATGGAAAAAGGAAGACCTGTCTCTCTCTCTAACTCTGCCAGTCAAAAAATAAAAATAAATAAATAAATAAATAAATAAACCCAAGGGCAATTCAGTATGCTACAGAGGGTGAGTTTCAATTCATGCTGCCTGGATTTAAATCTCAATTCTAACAGTTAAAGAAATAAATGACCCATACTAATCACAAAATATCTCTAAAATCCACATGAAACATAAATGATGACATAGCAACATCTACCTCTTTGGGTAGTCTAAAGATTAAATGAAATAATCATATCAAGTGTTCAGCACAACTCTTGACATATGGAAAATTCTCTCACCACGATTTTATTAGTAGCATTTACTGCTTAAAGTGTCTTACCAACAACTTGTCAGCTAGCATCAAAAACAAACAAAACACTTTACACCAGAGTTCCTTTTGGAAACTTGAAGCCCTCATGCCTCATATCCAGGTCATTGTTGGCTACCACCCAAATTCAAGTTCTTCCTGTTACTAAGCCTTATGCCCAGTTTTCATCTGCTTTGTCTCCCCTGACCAGTTTGCCATCTTTCCTAATCTTTCTAGAAATATCTACTCCATGATAAGCAGAGTCTCATACATCTTCAGTACCTTACAATGTTTCTGCCATTGTACTAGATCCCGGGACTTCCCTATTACCTTAAATCAAGTCACAGACCCCAACAGGCCAACAGGCAACACAGATATATTCTACCTGCCTCAATAGTGCAAATCCAGCTCTTTTCAAACCTCTGCCTGTGGCTGGGCAGCTCTCATCTGGACATTATAAGACAACTCTTGCTTTAACATCTTTTTCTTCTCCTCAAAAATGATTTCCACATGTCCCCAAAGGTCTGGGCAGTGGCTGTGTGTGTACCCTGAAGCCCAAACCTTGTCTCCACATAGCACCCCACCTTCACAGCCCTTTGTCTCCTCCCCATTTCTTTTTTTTAAAGATTTTATTTATTTGACAGGCAGAGTTACAGAGAAAGAGACAGAGAGAAAGGTCTTCCCTCTGCTGGTTCACTCCCCAAGTGGCTGCAACGTCCAGAGCTGCGCCGATCCGAAGCCAGGAGCCAGGTGCCCCCTCCCGGTCTCCCATGTGGGTGCAGGGGTCCAAGGACTTGGGCCATCCTCCACTGCTTTCTCAGACCACAGCAGAGAGCTGGAACGGAAGAGGAGCAGCCGGGACTAGAACCGACGCCCATATGGGATGCCAGCGCCACAGGCAGAGGATTAACCTAGTGCGCCACTGCACCGGCTCCTCCTCCCCATTTCTGACATTCAGACACCTATGTGCTAGGTTTCATCACCTTGACCCAGAACTAGTCTATTTCAGATGTTTAACTTCTGACAGGAATTTTCTGTTCGGCACTTTCATTCTCTGACTCTAGCTAAACCGATTATCTGGCTTCACCAACATCTCATATTCCTTAGCCTGCTGAATTCTGTTCCAATCCATGAACTATAGCAGGGGCGGGGGGGTGTGGGGGGGACAAAAACAAAACAAACAAAAAAACTCTTTTTCTTCAAACCTCATTAAGTTCTTAGAACAGAAGCTTTTTGTTGGGAGGACCCCTATAGCAAAAGACAGACTGACAAGAGAAAAACAAGTGAATTGATATGTTTATTTCCTATCTGGGAGGCAAGGAGGGGATATGCCAGACTAGAACATGCCACCTGAACTAGGAAGGATTGTAGAGATAAAGGAAATTATTTATGACACTCTCAATTGTTAAATCAACAACAGGAGTCACTGTGTACTTACTCCCCCTGTAGGATCTCTATCCTTAATGTGTTGTACTATGCGAATTAACAGTAAAAGTACTACTAAAACAGTACTCTACACTTTGTGTGTCTGTGTGGGTGCAAACTGT